GAGCATGAGGCACAAGGCGGTCCAGCAACTTGCCCAAGGTCACAGCGCACAGCTAGTAAGTGAAGAGGCAGAAGTGAATTCTAAGTAGTCGCCACTGCATATACTGCCTCTTCCAGTGTCCCCAAGCTCAAGTTCAAGTATAAAGTAAATAGCAGGCATTCAATAAATAGTAGCACCCATCTCTTTCCTCCATAACGCTTAGTGCACTACTGCACATGTTTACCAAACTAATTTGCTCAACGGAAAAAAATTACCTTCCCTCATGTAAGCAAGAAGGCAGCTCTCCTCACCAGTACGCTGCCACTGCTCCAGTCAGTAACAGATTTGTTTCTTCCACCGTGGTCTTACCGCCAGTGGAGCAGTAAGAAGTGTCAGAGTCACCTTTCTCCAAGAGAGGGCCCCTTCACTGACTCAGGCAGAAGGTGGTTTAGGGCTGAGGAAGACAGAGGGTGTGCTAGAACAGGAAGTGCTGCAGACCTTGAGGAGGTAACTCAGGTGACCCCTAACCTACACGGAGCTCCTGAACTCGGCGTAGCATCCCTTTGAGCTACACCTTAGATTTCCTGCCATTCGCCAAGTCCAGCACACATTGGAGAAATGGAAGGCAAAGCCCACAAATGTAATAATTAACCTTCATTCAACTTACTATGAGTGAAGGGCTTCTCCACGTCCTTCAGATGCGTGACATTTACTTTTTACACCTGTCTCATGAGTAAGCACAACATACACATTTTGGAGACAGAAACAGGGGCTTTGAAAAGTTGCACAGCTTGTCCAAATCATCTGTGTCAGACTGGGATTTGAATCCAAATCTGACTCCAGAGTACGCTGTTAACTGGCCCAGGAGGCCATCCACAAACCACAACTATTGCCTCATCAACCCGAAGTTAGCCTCTGCTAATGATGCTACCTGGCAGACCGCGGGAGCCCAGAGTTTATGACAGTTATAGTGAGCTTTCAAAATCGCGCAGAGCCGATCTGCATCAAACCCTGAATGGCCTCCCATCTCTCTCAGAACAAACCAAGATCCTTAGCATGGCCTGCCCAGCTCTCCGAGACCTGGCCCTGCCTGGGTGCTGGGCTCCACTTCTGCCATTCACCCCCCAGACTCTGGATTCCAGCCTGCCTTGCTTTTTGGAGGGGTACCAATAGCAGCAAAAGTCTGCCTTCCTCTCCAGACATTTCTCTGCTTGGAATATTCTTCCTAACACCCTCCCCGCTGCAGCAAGTTCCTACCCACCCTTCAAATCTCAGTTCAACCCTTCTTCCTAAGGATCTCTGTCTAATGCAAATCTAATTATCACCGAGACACCTGGCATTTAAGATGCAATGTAGAATCATGAATTAACCACAGATTTTTTATATATTTTTTAAGAAACTAGCCCGGCTGGTGTGGCTCAGTGGTTGAGCACTGACCTATGAACCAGGAGTTCACGGTTCGATTCTGGTCGGGGCATGTGCCTAGGTTGCAGGCTTGAACCCCAGTGGAGGGTGTGCAGGAGGCAGCCGGTCAATGATCCTCTCTTATCACTGTTGTTTCTACCTCTCTCTCCCTCTCCCTTTCTCTCTGAAATCAGTAATATATATATATATATAATTTATTTATTTACTTATTTATTTATTTATTTTTTTAAAAGAAACTAGAGCTTTACATTCAGGCCCACTGAAGCGTAACAGAAATCTCCTTTCAAACAAAATATGTTCAAGTTCCAATCAAATTCAATCAACTTGGTTCAACCACAGTTTACTCTTAGCTGCATTTACACTGTCCTACTTACTCAGGGCTTAGGAGTGCCAAGTTGTACTGTGTGCCACGTGGCAGCTCCCTCTCTGTAATGGCGACGATGCCAGCCCACAGGCACGCAAAAGCAGGCAGGCACATGGGTCAGGGTTTCACCTTTCCCCACCTGGAAGCTCACCTTTCATAGTTCTGTTTTTCTCATGACACACATAGAAACCTTTATTACACATGCACTGGGCACAAGCCAGGACACATTCATGAGCAATTACCTTCTCCCAAGTGGGAGGACCACGATGTGTGGCACCAGCTCCGTAATGATGAGCAATGCTTACGTAAGGCAAAACATCACCCCTATCCTTCTCCACTCTTTGGAGGGAACTAACCAAATAATTCAGTTATGCAGCAACTGTATTTCCATCTGTGATCAGTTATCAAAGATTAAAACATATCTGAGGTTTCTGACTCATTCTTATTGTCTTCCCCAAGGATGCTGAAAGGCAGGGAAAGAACAAATGATAGGGGTTGGCAAACTGTTCCTGTAAAGGGCCAGATAATAAATATTTTAAGCTGTTTGGACCATGAGACAAAGTTGGGCATATTATGTAGGTACTTATAAAAGAAGGGGGAAAAAAACCCCAAAATTTTATACATGAAATTCAAACTAATCATTGAATAATTTTTTTAATATAGGTCTAATAATGAGAAGAACAGAATTCTTTTTTATTTGGGATAGCACTTGGCTTAAGTGGGATTCAGTTAGTGCTTCCTGTTATCAAACTGATTGCAAATGTTCTCAGGAGTCTCACGGGCCCTAATTTTCAACCCTGCTCTAGAATACCGAGGCAAAAAGAATATGACTTCGTAGTTTGTTATTAAACATTTCTCTTTTCTCATAAAAGTGCAAATCTATGAAGACAGACACCTTAACCCCTTCCCCAACAATTTTTTTTGTTAAAAACGTTTCTTTTTCAGACTAATTTTTTTTATTTTGGTTCTATATAGTATTTTTGATGCTGGTTATGAAAACAGTTTGTAACTCGTCTTCCTATAAACCATATTTTTTTACCATATTTTCTTAGTATACTCGTCGACGACTGAAAAAGAACATTTTGTGAAAACGAGTATACACGTTTCTGCCGGGGAAGGGGTTAAGTCAGCATGATGGTGTGATAGAACGAACACCAGACGCCGAGTCAAAATAACTCCAATCCCTCCTGCCACAGACTGTGTGAGCTGGGGCAAATCCCTGGCCTTCCCCTTCTCCCCCCTCAGCGCTTTCAGAGTGATGCAAACACCAGCGTGTCTTCAAATCACTGCTTTCCCTGTGGACGAGAGTGCTGGGAGCTCATCAGGCCGGGCTGCCTCCTAGCCTTTGTCTCCTCAGCTTCCGGAAATGTGCTTGGCACAGAAAAGGTGAATTGGTGCTTCCTGAAGTTCACTGATGTTCACACACACCCAAGAGGATTTCACGCTAACAGCCAGTAACTAGCTCATCCTAAAACGGCTTAATTTTTGTCCCCTCCCCACCACATCATTAGTGAAAGACTCAGGTACAGTCCGAGACACAGATGATCCCCACGCCTCTGTGAGACCTACTCCGCTGGCTCAAACATGCCTTTGACCTATCAGCATAAATGTCATGGTTTAAAAACAGTTATCATTGAAAGAAGACTTACCTTTAGTTTGTAAACTCTCAAGAGTAGTCATTTTTAATCAATGAAAATGCACCCCAAGACTTCCACTGAATAACCTAAAAATGTATAAAATGAAAGAATTAAAACAATACTGTGTAAACACATTTACTAAGTAATACCCTGAAACTTAATTATATTCTACTTACTTCTGTATTTAGTAACATGCATTTAGAAAGGGAGTATCCCTCACACCCCCTTTTTAACAGGCGGTATTGTTAAAGCTACCAAATCTCTCTCTCACACACAAAAAATCAGGGGTGGTATTTCTGTCACTGTCCTCACCAGGATACTCTAAATTACAGGATGTGTGTCCTGAATTTCAGTTCAGAAATAGCCATAAGCTATTGCAGAGGCTCTTGCATCATTGACATAACAACTGGAAATTTAAAGTAATTAGTGCCAGCAGACACTGGCACTAATGTGTTCACTTTGTATATCAGAGCCTCTATTTAGATGTTTAACAAACAATAAAAATATTCATGATGGCTCACTTTGCACTTCCTCAGAAATAAAATTAAAGTGGCATAGCCTGGACTCTCAGAAATGTGTGCGTGGCCGCAAAGTATCGAGGAAGAGTCACTGCAGAACACCAGAGGGAGGCGGTAGGAACGCGATGTTAGTAATCGATGGTGAACGGCTCAGGAGGGCGGTTGGTTTCCCACAGAATCCATCACCCCGAGGACTCGCCGCAGCTCGCAGCTCGGCACCGGGGCTCCGGGACTCGCTTCCCCAGCAAACGGGTCTCAAAGTGCCTTGGAGGGCGCAAGGGGCCCGCCAACCGCGCTGGGAAGATGCTGCGCGATGGACAAGCACCGCGAGCGCCTGGGCGGGGGGAGCGGGGGGTAGAGGAGTGGGTAACAGGTGACCCGTAAGGAGGCCACACGCCTGTCAACCTCTGCCGTCCCGGGTGGTCGTACCCAAAGTTCCGACCCGGTCCAGCCTTAGACCCGAAGGCGTGGACACCGAACTCCAGCCCAGCCTCCGTCACTGTCAACGTCCCCCTGGTCCCACCGGCCCGTGCTTGGACGTACCTCTGAGACTCTCAGTCCTCCCCAGCGGGCTCTCCGGTCCGGGGGCTCGGCGCGAAGTCCTGGGGTAACTTCTCCGCAGTCAGGCCCCTTCCATTCCCAGCCGCCCGCCGGCCTTCGCCACAGCGACTTCCCGCTCCCTCCTGTCACTTCCGATCGATTACTCAGGGTTTCATTTCCGGAATACGTTTCCAAACAAACAGGTAAACATACTCTGTCGTGCGTTTAAACTCAAGTAACGCAGACCAGACGGTGTAGGCTTCAGTGAGTGAAAACTGGAAAGATGCTTATTTTAAAATAAACTAGAGAATATTTGGACCCTAGCCGGATACTGGCTTGAACTTCCGGGTCACTTGTCAACGAAACGGAAGTGATGACGCTGGCAAGACCTAGGCGGTGTTCCGTCGCCCTGGGCCACGGCGTCCAGGGCTGCGAACGTCGACTGGGTGGGCGGAGCTTTGGTTACTCCCAGCCAATAGGGACGAGGGAGAGGGGCCGCGGCCACTACGCGGCGTCCTGCAGGGGGCGGGGCTCCGTTGCCAGGGTAACCGGGCGTCGGTGTCGGAGCTGGTGTCTTCCTGTGGCAGTGCTACCGATTTCTGTGTGCTGAGCTCCCGAGACTATGGTGAGTGCCAGCCGAGGCCAGAGAACGGCTCCGGGGTCCTGGTGTCGCAGGGTCCCCGGTCCTGGGGCGGGTGCGCACTCGGGGCGTCCCCGGCCCTTGCACCTTCGCCCCGTCGTCTCTTTGGGGCTGCTGAGCCCCTAGACTAGTAATTCGACAGGAAGTGTAGGTTAAGACACTGACCCTGACAGCCTGAGGTGAAGCATCATTCCGGGCAAACGCTTTAAATGTTTGCATGTTCCTCGTTGCATTCTTCAAGCTCTCGGCTCCACCTCAGTGCGCTTCATCTCAGAGGATGCGGTGGTGTGCACGTGGCTGCTCCCGTCTCCCCATCTGAAACTTTGCCCCCCGAGAGGCGGAGGGCTGTCCGTCTGTCCGCAGCGGGTCTCAGGGCCACCTCGCAATGGCCCGCCTAGACACCGGGTGAGACCCTGGAAGACGCGCTCGCTGGAGCCTCGCCCCCAGGAATTCTGAGTTAATGGGACCAGGGCTCGGAATTTGCATTTTTAAAAGCCTGCAGGTGATTTTAATCCAGTCATCTGTTTGAGAGCGCCGGGGTTCTACTTAACTCCCGTAATTTCAAACCTTTTAAACATCTGTGACTAACGGACTGCAGGTGACAGTCTGACAGCCAGTTTCTTCACCCTCATGGCCCAACCTTCACATTGATCTGTATTTCTGTCCACGATGCAGCCTGGTGTTTCGTTTAGAGAAATGTGCTGAAGGATAAGGCATCCATCTTTCCCTTAGATCTCATTCCTTCCCATTCATGACAAGACATTTTGCTTTTCTGTTTTTTTCCTGTGATTTTAGCCTTTTCCTCTCCACTTCCTTCTCCTCAGTGTTAGAATCACATCTTTAGAAAATGAAATAAAACAAAAACACACCCTCCATTTTGTGTTTCTGCGCAGTTCGTCCACTTATCTATCAGCAAACTGCGTGAAAGTGTGGAGTCTTTGCTTCCACTCCCGCCTCCTCACTTCCAGCCTCAGTTCCTGCTTTCTTACTTCCTGTCTAAAGGCTTAGTGACACTTCTCTGACTTAAGTTTCTAATGGCCTTGTTAGTGCTAAATCTGGCAATGACTCCTCAAAGTTTACTTCGGCTGCTGTGACCGAAACTCATGGTCATCCATTCCCTCCCCCCCCTCCCCCCACTGGCTTCGCCTGCTCCTTAATTAATTCACTGCTCAGTCTATGCATTTTCCGTGGGTGACTTAATGCACACACCTGAGTTCTCCTAGTGCAGCGGTTCTCAACCTGTGGGTCGCGACCCCTTTGGCCGTCGAACGACCCTTTCACAGAGGTCGCCTAAGACCATCCTGAATATCAGATATTTACATGACGATTCATAACAGTAGCAACATGACAGTTAGGAAGTAGCAACGAAAATAATTTTATGGTTGGGGTCACCACAACATGAGGAGCTGTATTTAAAGGGCCAGGAGGTTGAGAACCACTGTCCTAGTGCCTGAGCTTCCATCCCCCAGTTTCGGTTCCATCTCAGACCTGCTGGGGCCTAACCTAGGTGTTTCCTGACCATCTCGACCTGGTTACCACAAAGGCCCCTCAGCTCATCATGACCAAAACTGAACTTGGTCTCTTTTTCTCCTGGTTTCTCTTATTTCCCCAAGATAATGAATGGCCGCTACCACCATCCTGTCATCTACACCAGGAACCAGGGCTAGCCTGCATTCCTTCCCCTCCCATGTCTCCCTTACTCAGCCGGTCAGCAATTCCTGTTTAGTTTAAGACAGCATTTCCTGCCGGGACTCTTGTAGCAGTGTCTTCAACCATCTGGTCTGACAATTCCCCAATGCATTATTTTCTTTGGCATGAGAAGGAATTTTCTAGAACCCAAATCTGTTGATGTTACCCACCTCTTTACAACTCTAGACTCTCCATTCCCTAGGGCAGTGGTCGGCAAACTGTGCCTCACGAGCCACATGCGGCTCGTTGGCCCCTTGAGTGTGGCTCTTCCACAAAACACCGTGTGCGGGCGCGCACGTACAGTGCGATTGAAACTTCGTGGCCCATGCGCAGAAGTCGGTATTTTGTGGAAGACCCACACTCAAGGGGCCAAAGAGCCGCATGTGGCTCGCGAGCTGCATTTTGCCGACCACTCCCCTAGGGTATACAGTAAACAGTTACTGGGGTGGCACACAAGGCCCTCCATGATGAACACTTGCCCGTCGGCCTCCTTTCCTGCTCCCCTTTCCTGCACGTGCCTTTCGCCTCTTGCTTTCTAGCTCCTTGCCTTTCACTGAACATTGACTTGTGAGCTTGTTGCCCGTACTTTGCACGAGTGACCCCTTTGCTTGTCAAACCCCTGTGGACCCTCCAGTCCCAGGTGAGGTGTCTCTTCTGTGATGCCTGACTTATCTACTCAAAGGAAGCTGACGTTTCACTCGTTTTGCTACCAGTTTACATAGCACACATCTCTGATACGAGCACATTCAAGTTGAAATTATTTGTGTATAGATTTGTCACCTTTACTAAGCTGTGAACTGTTAGAGGAATGGATCTTCATCTTGTTCGCTGCTATTCCAGTGGTTCTCAACCTCCCTAATGCCGCGACCCTTTAATACAGTTCCTCACGTTGTGGTGACCCCCAACCATAAAATTATTTTCGTTGCTACTTCAGAATTGTAATTTTGCTACTGTTATGAATCGTAATGTAAATATCTGATATGCAATATGTGTTTTCCGATGGTCGCTACCCACAGGTTGAGAACCGCTGGCTTAGACCATATTAGGCACTTAGATATTTGCTGAGTGAATCCCATCTAATAAAGTGGGAATATGCTAATTGACTGCCACCCCCTCAAAGATGGTGGCGCCCACAGCCAATAAGGAGGGAATATGCTAATTGACCGTCCTGCCCTCAAGATGGCAGCAACTAGTCCCCTCAGCCCCGTCGGGTGGGCCCGGCTGCTCCATGTACCTGCCTCCAGAGTCCCCCAGTCCTCCCAGCTGCTCAGGGCTGGTGTGAGGCGCAGGCAAGCCTCGGATGGCGGCTGCCCAGCTGCCCAGCTGCCTAGAGCCGCCTGATGCTCAGGTAACCAGGGCCAGCCGAGGCTTGCGCTGCCGGCAGTGGCAGCAGCAGAGGTGTGATGGGGTGTCACCTTCTCCTGATCGCCGGGTCCTCTCCTGCCCCTGAGGGCTCCTGGACTATGAGAGGGGGCAAGCTGGGCTGAGGGACCCCCCTCCAGTGCATGACTTTTCATGCACTGGGCTTCTAATAAAAAGACTCTGGTAAGTGATCTGAGGTACTCTGAGGGTCCAGAGTACTGGGGATAGTGGAGGATGGCATCCTCACTTCCCAGAGTCAGAAAAGCCATCCTGAAGCAAATGGAGTCAGTTTCAGCAGCGAGAGCTCAGTTCTGTGCGATGACATAAGGAGGTGGAGAGCGACATTTGTAGGGAACTGTTTTTGTTGTTGTTTTTTTGTGTGTGTGTCCCTGCCTTACATTTTGTCGTTCAGACTTCCCCTCACCCTCTGCCTTGGCTGGAGTTGTGTGTGTGGCTCCTTCCACTAGGTCCATGGTCGGCAAACTGAGGCTCGTGAGCCGCATACAGCTCTTTGGCCTCTTGAGTGTGGCTCTTCCTAAGCCTTAGGAGTACCCTAATTAAGTTAATAACAATGTACCTACCTATATAGTTTAAGTTTAAAAAATTTGGCTCTCAAAAGAAATTTCAATCGTTGTACTATTGGTATTTGGCATTGTGTCTACTGGGTTCTGATGTAAAATATATTTCATGCTGTAAGTCACAATAGTGTACTGTGAATAATACACACATACATACATATATATATATATATATATATATATATATACTGATATGACCACCTGACATTTGTAGGCAAATTAGCTATAATTTCGCACTGAAGTTGCTAGAGGGCCAGACCATTAAAAATTAGGGAAGCAGGTTGTTTACCACAACAATAGAAGTGATTTTTTTCTGAAGATATGGGTAAACAATGTGATTTAACAGCCTTTGAATGTGGGATGATTGTTGGAGCTCGGAGCCGGGGAACAAGTAACCGCAAAATAGCTGAATTTGTTAAATGTTCAAGAGCAGCTGTTGTTAAAGTGTTTAAAGACTGGACTGTCAGCTGAAAATCTGGGGCATAA